GGAGTCACGCCGAAAACAGAGACGTACCGCCCATGGACGGCGATGCGCGTCACAATAAAAATGGATACCGGCAGCATCAAAAACAAAACAAAACAAAAAAAAACAAAAAAAATTACAACAGAAAAAAAAAAAAAAATTGAGCATAAAACGAGAGAAGAGAAGAATCAACAAAAAAAAAAAAAAACAGAAAAACAGAGAGAAATCAGCATCAGAAAAATAAAAAAAAAAAAAACAAAAAAGTAATAATAATAATAAAAAGAAAACAATCAAACGGTGGGAAGAAAAGAAAAAGGAAGAAGAAGGGGGTGTGTGGGCTCGTGACGGCAGACACGGCAATTGTGCCAACAACAAGTAATGGGCGGAGCGCAGAAATGCGGCGAAAAAAAAAAAAAAAACACAAAAGAAAAGAAGGGGAAGGAAAGGGGGAGGGGAGTAAACGACAGACAAAAGAGGAAAAAATAAAAATAAAAAAAGCCCAAACGCAAAAGTAAGAAGACACGCAAACATCCAAGGGACGCACACTAACATTCACTCCGCCACAACCGCGCGGTTCCGCTGGAAAGACACGCACACGTGTGCGCAGCGCGCATGGACGGACGGACAGCAGCCGTTCAGGCATAATTCCCGTGTCGTCAAGTTTACGCCCTCTCGCTTTTGTTGAAGTGTCATTTCCCCCCCCACTCCCCTCCCTTCACGGAACACGCACAACAGCGGAGCCCCTCTTTTCAATTTGAGGCGCATATCCGCCGCCGTTGCCGCCAACACCCTCACCCCCAACACACCCCTCTCCGCCTTCGTGGTCCGCCAGTCCGCCGGGCGGTGAAGTGCGAGTCAATTGACGGCCGCAAGTGCGTGGCCACTTCGTTGGCAAAAAAACAAAAGGCCCGCTGCGTCCATCATCACACATCACCGGGCACGGGCTGACTGGCAGCACACATGCGCACATAAAAAAAGTAAATATAAATAACCGCCCGACCCACCCACCCCCAAAAAAAAATATCGCCCCCCATTTCATCGTCGTGCGAATACAAATCAAAACACACACACAAAAAAAAAAGAAAGAAAAAAAAAGTCATTTAGAGAATCACATGTACATTAAAAACAATATCAACTCCATTCAAATTGCTCATCGACATGTTTTTTGTTGTCGTTTTTTTTTTTTTTTTGCATTCATGTGGCTACTTGTGGCCGTGCGGGGGACAATTAGCGAAATCCCCAACATGACCACGACAAATAAAAGAGAAAAAAAAAAAAAAAATGTCAAAAAAGAGAAAAAGAGAGAAAAAAAGAGAAAAAAAGAGAGAAAAGAAAAAAAAGGGAGGGAACGAGACACAGTTGTTTTTTTTTTTTTTTTTTGGTTTTTGTTGGTTTTGTGGTTGTTGCCACGGAGTGTAAACACACACACACACACACGCACAAACAAACAAACAAGATCGGCAGCACACTGCAAATACATCCCCCGAAAATGGAGCGACTGTGGCAATAACATCAAAAACAAGCGCATAACGGAAAATAATATAAAAAGAAAAAAGAAAAAAAAAAACATAATCGCAGCAATAATCACAGTCAACAGAACAAAAAAAAAAAAAGAAAAGAAAAAAAAGACGACCGCTGAATCCCTCTCTCCCTTGGTTTCCGTCCCCCACTTTTTGTTCGAATGGGGAACACCACCCACCCCCCAGAGGGACGGCCAAATAAAAAAAAAAAAAAAAAGACATGTACTTTTAAAGACAGACAGACAGACACACACGCAAAAACAGAGAGATGCACACGCATACAAATATAATATTCCGACTTCTCATTTATTTCGTTGAGATCATTTATTCCTATGATCATGTACCGTTAGCGCTCTTCTCGTTTTGCCACCGCCACCGCCCACAGTCCCCCACTCCCCCTTCTTCTTCTCCCACCCCCCTCCCCCGCCATTGATACACAGAAGTGATGAAGCAGAGAAGCAGGGAACCACAACAAATAAAATAACAAATAAAAAACCCAAGAAGAAAAAAAAAAAGCACAAAAAAAAAAGCACAAAAAAAAAAAAACCCTCAACAGTTACGTGAACACAAAGCGAATGATAAAATAAAAATAAAAAAAAGGAGAAAAAGAAAGGAAAAAAAAAAAAAAAACAGATCAGAACGTGTGAATTTTCCTCGCACTCATTGACAGGGCGCAGAAAGCCACAAATCCCCAGTTGTACTGGGTGGGCTGCGGCACGCATCCGCATACTCGTCCGTGTCGCTGCTGCAGTCCGAGCTGCTTGCCCCTTCTCCGCTCTTCAAAGAGGTGTCAAGTGAGAACGAAAAAAATTCACACAGTTCCACCTCCCTGCCCTCTTGAAATTTGGCAAAAGAGGGATCGTTCAGTTGTGCCATGGCCATCAAACTCAGCGAATCAGCGGCAGTGGGAAACATCTCCAACTCTTCCCCCTCTGACGCCATGCTAACGCAAGGGGAAGTGTCCATCTGTGGCAAATTGGCCTCGGCCGTCAAAAAGAGTTGATTCCGCTCCCGTAGTTCCTGCAAAACGCGCTCTTTGTTCCGTATCAGCTCCCTTACGCGAGCACCGCTGTCAAGGAGGTTGCAGCTCTTGCCCGGCAACTCGAAAAGAAACATGTTAGACAGCATCCTCCTCGCGTGCTCGTGGCCCCACCGATCAAGTTCGTCAAGGAAGCGACGAGCAAACGCGCGCCACTGTCGAATCGCCTCCATTACACTCCCCTCCGAGGCGCCGTGGCGGCTGAGAAGCGCGAGATGTCGACGGCGCGCCTCACCCATCAGGAAAACAAGCGACGCACGCCTGTCACTAGGGGACAAAGTGTCGTCTTGCAGCTGCACACGCTCCCCGCGTGTCACAAAAACGTGGGATTGGAGTTCACGCACCGGCTGTTCCTGCTCCTCTTCACGGACTCCGCAGAATTCCCCTTGCTCGCCATCGCCGCCGCAGACCGCGAGCGCCGTATTGCGGCAGTACGGTCGTTGACTGAAGACATAACGCGAGCTCTCCTCGATCTCCGCCGCGTAGTCGATGTCCAGGCACTCCTCCTCGGCCGCAGGGACCTCTTGCGTCGCGGTGCAGGAGTCCCACCCCGCGAATTGAGCCTCGACAACTTCGTTTTCATGAGAGCAGCAGTCCGCCCGGCACGGCATCATGCACCCCTCTAAAAATATCCAAAGCGGAGCGAAAACAGGAGGGAACAAATGCGCCGGCCAATGCAAATTTAAACCACTGAGCAGCACCGCCTTGGCCCCAACAAAACCAAGTACGAGACCGACGAAATAAAAATCTCAAATAAATTTAAACCTAAAAAAAAAAAAAGACCAAAATCACTAAAAAAAAAAATATTTGCTGTACAACACTGTAGTAAATGAAAATGTAAGCGTCCTTCTTGAAGTTTCCTTTTTTATTAATTTTTTTTTTCCGTTTTCGTTGAGTGCCTGTGTGCGTGTGCGTATGGTGGTGTTGGTGGTGGTGGGAATCACTGCAGAGTTGTTGTTGCTTGTGTGTCTTCCTTCTCGGCCCTGAGAAAATTGCCTGGCCGCCCTCCTCACCAGTTCCCTTCTATCCACTCACTTCTCCGCTCACTCCTACCCTCTCCTTCTCCCTTCCTTTCCCTCCCTCTCCTTTCCCGTTTTTCTTTTTTTGTTTGTTGTTGTTTTGCTCTTTTTTTCGTTTTTGTTTTGTTGTGTTTTTGTTTTCCTTTCGTTGCAGGGGACTTCCGTTTCCCTCGCTGCTGCTGCCGCTGCGGTTACACACACACACACACACACACACACGCCTGCACCGCGAAAGTATGCGAGGAATAAATATAATTTTATTTTATTTTAATTGTTTAAAGCGCCACTATTTTCACCCGTATGTATTTGAGAGACCTGGAAGCACCACAACAAATGGACCACACAAGCAGGAAGACCCACCACGAAATAATGAAAACAAAACTTTAAAAAAAACAAAAAAAAAAAAAAGGCAAGGAAAAATAAAAATCCCCAAAAAAAAAAAAGACCTACAACAGCCAATGCACCAACAAACACACAAAAAGAGAGAAAAAGAAGAAAAGAAAAGAAGGCGTAATGCAAATGATCCGACCATTCAATGAGAATCACGCACGAAACAGAAAGGATAACACCCAGCAAGACAGAGAAAGGAACATGCATACACAATTCCCTTCAATTGTTTGGCAATAAATAAAATAAAAAAACAAAGCGGAATAAGAAAGAAAGAAAGAAAGAAAAAAAAAAAAGGTGCCTCTTTACATTACTACCCCCACTCGCGCACAACGAGAGGACACGCCCGTTCCGTATCTCTATCCCCCGCTCTCTCACCCTCTCTTCAATTAAACCGCCGCCAACAGAAAGACAGTCATAAAGAGGATCCTTCCACCCCCATCCACCTCAACGCACCATCCGAGGTGCATCTCCAGCCTCACGCTCCTTTTGCAAAATCTCATCCTCCTCTGCTACTATGCGTGACACAACAATCTGCTCCACCATGGCATCAAATGCCTCCTTGAAGTTGCCGCTCTGGTAATCCAATGATGTCTCAATGGCGCGCACCCCCCTCAGCTGTTTGGGCAGCGAAGGGATCGCATTATCACCAACGGCCAATTCCGGCATGGAAGAGTGATGAGAGAAGACCAGGGAGTGCTTGTCCGGCACACGCACCTTGAAGTTGTTCCTTTCGTCCAGTTTGTCCTGGTCGAGAGCAAAGTTCTTGTGCCACAGAACGAGTTCCTTCTCCGCCCCCCGTACTTCGGGATTAAAAACGTAAATAATGCCATCCGCGTTAGCCGCCACAGCCTGCCACCCTGCCTGATGTTTGCTGCTGCCGCCGAGATCCCACAACTGCACGATGGCCTTCTTTGGCCCCACGACATGGCGGCCGCCCACCTTGAGATTATCGAGGCCGATCTCCACCTCAAGGATACGAAGGGGTTGGGTCTCATAGTACCCCTTCGTTGGCGTCTCGCGGAGACCGGCGAGGAAGTTCGCGATGGTGGACTTCCCCGACCTGCTCGGACCAAGCACAAGTATCTTCACCCTTTCCTCCGACATGAATTCTGTCGCTTCCGTCTACTACCTTTTTTGTTGTTGCTGTTGTTATTTTTGATATTTTCGCTGTTGTGTACCTGTGTCGTCTCTTCTCACTCCCCTTCGATACGTGGGGTAGGCCTCCGTGGCGTGTGTGCACCTGACTGAACTGCAGGGGACAATCGCCGCCCCGCCTCCTCCCACCGATTCACCAAAGACACAGAGGCAGAGAATAAGAACCTCTCGAACGTTGGTTCCGTCCCACACACACACACACACACAAAAAGTGACAGAAATCAACGCCCAGCAGGACAATGCGCCCAGGCGGCAACGCAAGAAAAACAAAAATGCAACACATTTGTGCACATGCAATCCTCACCCTCTCACAGTCATCTGGTGCCGGCATGAGCCAACAAAAACCAAAAAAGGGAACACACAAGGGGGGAAGAAAATACATATATATATATATATATATATATTATACAACAAAAACAAAAACAGCCGCAACCAACCGCAAAGAAAAAAGTGTCAAACAATATACATATGTATTCATTTATTCATGTACCTTCAGGTAAAAATCCGTTTACATCGGAAACAATGCTCAAATGGAAAGAAAAGCGGAGGGGAGAATAAAAAGAAAGTCAAAAATGAAAACAAGTCTCCTAGTTGGCCACATTATTTGTTCGTCTCTTTCGTTCGTTGCAGCCGCGCTAGTAACGCACCCACCGACAGATCATCGGAGGGGCCAATATGACGCATGACATCATCTGTCGCCATGGAAGCGGGACCCCACACCGCATGACGTTTCCCGTCAAGAATTTCAACCAGTTGGGCGTAGTACTGGAAATTCAGCTTCTCATAACTCCCGGCAAATTTGTTCCACCGCTCTTGAAGCCCAGAAAGAAGTTCTTCATTCTCCCTCAAGGAATTCGGGCAGGTGCCACGGCGAATAAGTAACTGACCGCGCAGGTAACTGGCCGCTGCCTTCACCGGCACGCGTGGCATACCATCCAGCAACACGGAGGCCGTGTCTGCCCTCAGATCATCCCAACAGGATAATGCCACCCGAATGGATGGTAACCAGTACTTCCTACCCTCCTTGGGAAGTTCGCTCATCGCCTGATACAAGAGTTGACTTTCGCTTGCGACATTTACGCGAGACGCGTACAAACAGAGAGCATCTTCCACCGCTTGCCAGGAGCCCTCCACATCATCGCAGACAAATTTATACAAGAGATGCTTGAAGTGAGTATCCCACAAGGCACCGGCGTTCTCCACGGTGATGAATGCGGAACGCAGAAACAAGCGCTCGGGCAATAGAACATTGTAGTTCAGTAGCTCCATGGAATCCATCTGATTTCCGGCATCATTTCTAGCCGCGTCAAGTAACTGTTGCAGTCGAACTAACGGATAAGAGGGATACATGGCAACCAAAAGACTCGCAAATTGAACAACGGGTATGAGACCACGCGGCTTACCAGGTAAACTGCGCTTTATATCCAAATAACGACAGATGGAAATAAGTATGGCCGCATCCAATTCCAACATACGGAAAAGATTGGCGTTTACTCGCCTTCTTGTCACTAATCCAAAGGCGTACGTCAGTGATCCACAATAACAGCTACGAGAAAGAGCATCAAGTGCATATGTGATGGGAAGGTGTGAATTTGCTTCTTCGGCAGCAGAGGCTTGGTCTGATTTCTGTAATGTAAAAATTGGAGAGGCATCGCTACTTTTCATTGCCCTTAAAACATAATCACGAGTAAAGATGTCCAATGGCCTCAATTCCGCATCGCAAGCCCATTCAGAGAGAATGACATACACAGCACGTTCTGCAACAGGGGGATTAATACGAATATACTCCACGCTGGACAAGGAGCGCAGGTGTTCTGGGGTCTCCGGGTTGTTGCCGGCACTTGGAATCCACATATGACACAAACTGTTCTCATCTGCAGCCTGATAAGGAGACGAGGTTTCTTTGTTCTTGGCGTCTGAATCATCCTCTTCCTCCAATTCACTGCCTTGTCTCCGCTCGTCTGTGGTGTGGCGGCTCGTTTTGCTTCCCTCCGAGGTCTGCGGCGTGGAAGGAAATCTCTTGGAGGCCTCAATGAGATTCAAAAGCACCTGGGTGGCATCCTTCATGCGCTTCTCACGCAGAGACTCCCACCAGCTCTGGACCGAATGGTTACGATTCATGAATAAAGTCATCAGAACGTTGCGAATAACTTGAATTTCCACTTGATACCGCTCGCTTCTTTGCTTTTCGACTAAAACCTCATTTTGATGCCGTTTACAATCTACTGCAATGGCAATGTTATGATCTGTGAGAACTGAGAGACGGGCGGCCAGCTCCACGCACTGCCGGGCGTATTTGCCATTTAGTTCCATGAGTTGCTGGATTCGGTTACTCAGTTCATTCCGTTCATTCTGCAGCAATCGCAGCTCCCCCTGCAGTTCATCAATCGCCTTTTCATTTTCAGCGCGAGCGATCAGTCGTCTCACGTACAACGCATCCGTCTCCTTGTCGCCAGGACCTAAAAAGACCTCATCCGCCATCCCTTTTGCATGGGACAACAGAATTTGGTGCTTAAGCAGACCTTCCAACTTGGCCTCCCGTGCCCGCGTAGCCGCAATCTCCGCCTTGAGGTGGTCACGCTGCGTGGCCGCCTCATCCACTAATTTTGCCATACGCACCTCCATCTTGCGCATGCGTTCATGTGCGGTGGCCACCTCCTCATTCTCGGTAGCCATCCACAGCGGCAGGAAATTCTGCGGAGTCTCCTCCCTGCATGGAAGATCCATCTTCTCTTCCAGAAGCTCGTCAATAAGGCCAAAGATAAACCCAAGCGTTTTCTGCAAAATCGGCCGGTAGATCCCGGAATTGGAGGTGAAAAGTGCAAGCGCCGCCCTTGCCAATTCCACCTTCGTGATTCGCTGCCGCGAAAGGGACGGGTCCACAGACATGTCAGGAAAGCCCGTCCCATTTAAAGCCGCGGCCGGTGCAGCATCACCATCACGCCGCTCAACCACCTCCTTGCCACTCTGGTTGCACTCGGCCTCCGTTAGCCACGGCGGGTACGTCTCACTCGACTTCCCTACCACCCCACAACTTTCATCGTCAGCATGGTGGTCCTTTTTAGTGTTGTTGCCATTGTTGTCAGCTGCCGCAGCGTCCACAGACGCCAAAAAGAGATTCTTGTGGTTGGCGCCACCCTTATTGCGGCTCAAGTTTAT